ACGTCACTGCTCACAGACATTAACAATCGAGCCTGCGCAGAGTTGCTCATGGCAGAGGGCAACAACATTAACAATTTGGCTCAAAATCAGGTAAATAACTATATTTGATCATTTTGGTCGTAAATAAATGTGTAAGAAATATTAATTCCATAATATGTGTTCATAAGATGTTTCTTGTCCCTCTCTAGAAACGTTTTTTTAGGCAGTGTTTAGTTAACACTAGCTTCAAGGCTAGTTTTACAGCTTACCTTGTTATTTTAAAACCAACATTTTTACATTCTTAGCAGTTACATTTTATGAAGCCTTTGCCCCAAATCAATGTGGTTAAAGTGTTGATACCAGCCCCAACCCTCCAGATTTTTCATATTTCGCGCTGTTACTGCCCCTGAGCAGTAAAGTATTTTTGCGCATTACCGCCACCTTCTGTTCCGTGGATGGGTCAGTAGGCTCACACTCTAACCCCACAGACTATCAGTCTGTGGTCCCACCAAGGGAATTGTAAAAGAAAAGAAACGAAAAAGAAAAAATAAAAATAAAAAAAATACTACAAAATACAAAAAATAACTAACCAAAATTCATACATACCTAACTATACTATATCTATATTCTGCTGAATAACCCGGCTTCCTTTAAAAACGACACTAATGCCCTCACTTGCGCACTCCCTCCAGTACCCAAAATACTCTTTAAATTAAATTCCTTAACCCCCAGTTCCTTAAGCCTCTGTTTCAGTACCTCCCTACACTCACTATATCCCCTGCAGTGCAACAGCACGTGCTCTACAGACTCCTCCTGCTCTTCACATCCCTCACAGAGCCCCGTCTCATGCTTCCCTATGATACACAGTGTTTTATTCAGTGCACAATGCCCCAATCTAAGCCTAGTCATGACCATTTCTTCCCTCCGATGGCCCCCCTGCCTTCTGCCATCGCTCACCTCTTTCTGTATGTGATAAAAGTGCCTTCCTGAGGTCCCTGTCTCCCAACGTGTCTGCCATTCCTGAATTATTCGTTTCCACATCACACTCTTTGCTTCACTCTTGCTACTTTTCACACTCATCTCTACCCTAGCCTTATTCAGTGCACCCTTTGCCAGTCTGTCCACTACTTCATTACCTTGAATACCAGAATGTGATGGTACCCACAGAAACTGCACCCTGTTCCCCTGCTGATGTATTCTAGTAACTGTCAATAGAGTCTCATACAAAATATCCTGTCGACCCTGTGATTGTATAGACTGGACACTAGAAAGCACAGACGCTGAATCAGAACATATTAAAACCCTACTCTTTTTAGCTTGCTCTGCCCACCTTAACGCCACTAATATAGCAACCATCTCCACTGTGTAAACACTCAAACCATTAGATGTTCGTCTGTTAATACCAACTCCTTTTCCTGGCACCGCTATTCCGAATCCTGTAACCTCCGATTCTGGACTCTTTGACCCATCCGTAAAGATGTGAATATGACTTGAGTAGAGTTGAGATACGTGGTACTCAAAAGCTGCAACCAGATCAACCCTCCCTTTTTCCTTCTTCTTCAAGTCCAGCAGGTGCCAATCTACTCCTGGGCACGCCAACTTCCATGGGGGTATTGCAGGAAACACTAAAGCAGAACTAATCTGAAGATCATAAATACCATAGTTCTGAGCCATCTGGTCCCCCACTTTCCCAAAATGATCTCTCTGGGCCTTACCATATTCCCAGCAGTCCCTCAATGTCTGTTTTGTGGGATGAGAATCCCCATGGCTTTGTAAATGAACCCAGTAGTTCATCATTATCTGCTTCCTTCTCAGATCTAGTGGCATCTCCCCATCTCTACCTGCAATGCATTCACCGGAGATGTCTTAAAGGCTCCGCAGCACAGCCTCAAGGCACGGGCCTGTATCACATTCAGTTTCTTCAGTATGGATGGGGATGCTGATCCGTACACCACACAACCATAGTCAAATGCTGACTTTATCAAGGCCTGATAGAGGCGTTTCAGTGCGGAGCAGCTGGCTCCCCAGTCTCTTCCTGCCAAACACCTCATAACATTTATAACCTTACTAGACTTCTCCTCAATCCTTTTTATGTGTTCCTTCCATGTTAAACGAGAGTCCAGTACAACCCCTAAAAACTTAAATGCACTAACTCTCTCAATCTCTTCACCGTATAACCTCAACTTCATATCTTCCCTCACTCTCTTCCTTGTAAAGAAAACCACTTTAGTTTTCTCAACTGAGAACCTGAAGCCCCAGTCTAGTCCCCACTCCACCACATCATTAATGGCTCGCTGACTCTTGCCTATTAGATGATCTACATTTCTCCCCCTGCTCCATACCGCCCCATCATCTGCGAACAAAGATCTACCCACACTCCCAGGCATTGCATCAAACACATCATTAATCATAATAATGAACAGTAGAGGACTTATCACACTGCCTTGAGGAGTTCCATTTTCAGCACAATATTGATTGGAGCAAGCTAATCCAATGCGCACCTCAATTTTCCTCCCATCAAGAAAGTCTCGGATCCAGTTAAAAGCTCTTGCACTAACCCCCAACCTATGCAGTTTGATTAATAACCCCTCTTTCCACATCATGTCATAGGCTTTTTTAATGTCAAAAAACACTGCCAGCACTGCCTCCTTACAAGCCTGAGCTTTCCTTATCTCATTTTCAAGCCTAATAATAGAGTCACACGTATTTCTCGCTTTCCTAAAGCCACTCTGACAACCAGCTAAAACCAGCTCTTCGTCTCTCAAGGTCAAAAGACAACCTTTCCACAATCATTCTCTCCATAATTTTACAGAGGTTGGAGGTAAGGGCTATTGGCCGATAACTACATGGCTTGGACGGGTCCTTTCCAGGCTTCCTTATCGGCACTATCACAGCCTCTTTCCACGCACCTGGCACCTTTCCTTCAGTCCAAACTCTATTATACAATAGCAGCAGTTTCTTACGGGCTTCTATCCCTAGCCTTCTAATCATTGCATAACATATCTGATCCTTACCTGGAGATGTTTGTTTTGCCCGTCTAACTGCCCTGTCCATCTCCTCCAAGGAGAAAAGGGAATCCTGATCTTGATTTAAATCCTCCTTAGTTACAAATACTTCCTGGTTCTGATCTCTGGTTTGATCTCTCCTGCTTTTAGCCACTTCTGATAAGTTATCTGAGCTATGCACCTTTACAAAACTTTGGCCCATGACCTCTGCCTTATCCCTGTCCGATATCGCTGTGCCATTCTGAGTCACTAATACTGGGTAATCCCACTCACGCCTGTCTTCACCCATCCTTCTTACCATTCCCCAGACTTCACCCACTGGTGTTGTTCTCCCCACTTTTGAGCAAAACTCCCTCCAGCTAGACCTTTTTGCTCTTCTAATTGTCCTCCTAACAATTGCCTGCGCTTTCTTGTATTCCACCAGATGCTGAATACTGAGCGTTCTCTTAAACTTCCTAAATGCCTTATTCCTCTCCTTGACCGCTATCCGGCACTCCTGCGTCCACCATGGAACCAGAACTCTGTTATTCTTTGGCTTGCTCTTTGGAATACTCTTCCGTGCAGCATTTATCATTCCCTCCGTAATCTGTTTATTCATTTCATCTACGCTGCCTTGACACCCCATTTCATCTGCAGCCTCCTCACATACCTTTTGGAACTCATCCCAATTAGCTCTATGGAAAGCCCATTTCCCCAAACCCTCTCTGCTTATCCCCTTCACCTTACCCCCAATTGAGCTCAAAACAGGATAATGGTCACTCCCCAGGGTTTTATCTGTCCTAACCCTCCACTGGCAGCCCCCTGCACATGCGCTAGACACCAGGGTAAGATCCAACGCTGAGGAGGACCCATTCACAACATTAAACCTTGTACCAGAATCGTCATTCAAACACACAAGATTCTGCTCATCCATCAATTCCTCTATAACACTTCCATTGGCGTCTTTATGCCGACCCCCCCATACTCCACTGTGAGCATTAAAGTCCCCCACCCAAACTACTCTCCTACGGTCTTGTCCCTGAATACCCCGGAGGCTCTGATGCTCTAACCTGGCACATGGATTATAGAAATTTATGACCACTGTTGGTTTTTCCTTCTCCCATACTTCCACTACAATGCACTCCAGATTTCCCCCTACCCCCAGTAACCTGTAGGGGATACCGCTTCTAACAAATGTTGCACACCCCCCTCCATCTCCATGGTCTCGGTCATTTCTAATCACAGCATATCCATATATTATAAAGTCCAAAGAAGGCTTAAGCCACGTCTCCTGCACACATATTACGTCCGGTTTATCTTTAAGTCCTTTAATGAAATACTTAAACTCCTGGCCATTGGCCAGTAAACTTCTTGCATTCCATTGGAGAATAAGCACCATTAGGAATACAAATAACATTATACCACTCGTCCTGACTGAAGCCTGAGGTGATCACTCACCTTTTCCCATGTCAGTCCTACCACTCCTAGCAGCTTTACTGCTGCCTCAACAATCAATTTGATCCTTTCATCTCTAGTTTTGACCCCAAAAGTGCAGTTTATTACTTCAGCAATAAATGCAGTGATGGGCAAGCTACTTGATTTGTGTAGTGAGCTAAGCTACAAGCTACTCTACAATAAATTCAGCTTCACTACACAGAAGCTACCACCCATACAAATGTAGCAAGCTAAGTTACAAAATTCTGTCAAAAGTAGCTTGCTATATAGAAGCTATTTTCAATTAAACAAACTGCAGTTCATGCAATTTTATATTTTCCTGCATTAACATGTTTGCTCATTTCTTATTTTTTGCACAATTCTTGAGTGTTTTATCCATGCCAAATGTGACATGTAAATGTCTCCTGTGTGAGATTAATAAAGCTTATCTTCTTATTTGAGATAAACTGTCAGTCAGATAAAGGTTAAAATGCTGTAGATATTTATTGAACAATAGCCCAAAACACCAAAACAACAAGAGTAGGCATCTGAAAACATATTTCTTTTCGCTCATCTGGACTAGAGTGACGTACTTTTGGAGGTATGGCCACGGTACAACACTTTGAGAGTATCATGGTCCTCCTCCACCGCGGCGGCTCCTGGGCTCCCTGCCATGCTTTTGCTTCCCCCAGTAGCGCGCGCGCATGTGTGTGTGTGTGTGTGTGCGCGTACGTTCGTGTGTGTGTGTCGTTACCAAGCCCTGCGCATGCGCATCAGCATTCTGTCTTTCTTATATGTTTGTTTTATGCTGCGGGAAAATGCTGTAATATATGAACATCAGAGATGTCCGTGAGAAAATAGCTTTGGCGGACGCTACCGCGCTACTTGAGCAATAATATAGCTTAGCTACAGAAAAGTTACTAGGTTTTGTAAATAGTGACGCTACTGTCAAGCTACTGAAAAATGTAGTTAAGCTTGTAGCGACGCTACAAGTAGCGTCGCTACTGCCCATCACTGAATAAATGAAACTAGCGCAATTGGCTGTACACTTAGATTACTTTTGCTCTGCCCAGTTACTGCCTCCGGCTCTTCTGTTCCCCGCCCCCTCGTCACAAGAGGAGCACTCTGCCGTGATGTCCTCACAGCCTCTGCATAAGAGATCCCCTTCTCTACTCTCACCTTTTGAATCTGACTCTCTTTCTTCATAAACTCACATCCAGCATAAGCCACACTATGTGCCCCACCACAGTTGCAGCACTTGGGCTGTACTCCTTCCCCACACTTCCCATATTCATGGCCCCCTCCACATCGAGCACACCTTCTCTTATCCTTACAGTTACTTGCTGTGTGGCCAAAACGCTGGCAATTAAAGCACCTGAGCGGCTTAGGTATGAATGCTCTGACTGAGTAACTCAAAAACCCAACGAACACTTTCTGAGGCAAAGTTGCTTCTTCAAACTCAATAAGTATAGTTTCACTGTCCACTTTCACTCCATCCCTTGTTGCTTTCATCCTAGTCACATTTTTAACTACCCCCCCTTTAATATGTCTCTTCAACTCCTCCATCTTTACATTAGCAGGTATTCCGGTGATTACTCCTCTGCTCCCGCCAAGTCGAACTCCCACCTGACTCGCACTGCTAACTTGAAACTTTCCCACCTCCCTCAAGCCCAATGCCTTCTTCATTTGCTCCTCATTGGTACAATGAATTAATACATTTCCATCATTCAACACTTTAGCTGATGTTACATCGCCCAGCTTGTTCCCAATATCCATTGTAAGACTAAATGGACTTGCTTTCCTCACACTGGCTTGAGTTTTCTCATTAAACCTCAGCACAACAATCATCTTACTCGGTCTCTCAATAACTGAATGAACACTGCTGTCACTACCACTCTCATTCCGAAGCCGCTTACTACGCTTGTTCACTCTCTTCTGTGCTGACTGTAACTCAGCGTCACTTTCACTCTCCTCAGCCTCCATACTATCGCCCCAACTCCCTACCTCTGACCCATCCACGGAAAAAACAGGTTCTGGGATTAAGGTAGGTGGTTGTAGATCAATAAGATTTAAATCTCGCGCATTTCTCCTCGTCGACGCTCTGCCTCCGCCTGCTGACGCTGCCGCCATTCCGCCGTCACTAGGAAGTGTTGCTAGGCCGACAACCCTCGTCCCGCCGGATGTCCCTGTGGACCTCAATCTTATATTTGTACATTTGACACATTACTTTTACTCACTAGCTCAGTAAGACTAGTTAGTCTGTTGTTTAGACTAAAATAAATGCATTATTTTCTGTAGAATAAAACAATATAAGGATAAGAAAATAAAACTAGCCTTGGAGCTAACAACACTGCCAAAAAACCTTTAGAGGGACAAGAAACATCTTCTTATGAACACATTTATGGAATTAATATTTCTTACACATTCATTTACAACCAAAATGATAAAATATAGTTATATACTTGATTTTGAGCCACTTTGTTTATGTTGTGTCCTTCTGCCATGTTTAGTTTTTAGGCAATGAAGTTGATCAACTCTGTGCAGGCTCGATTGTTAATGTCTGTGAGCAGTGACGTATTATTGACAGTTTGCTCACTGCTGAAATTCGTATTCTCAAAAAGAAAATGCAAGCACACAAAAAAATCGCATTCACAAGTACAAAATCACACATACAGTTTTATATTTTTTTATTCTTAATTACGAAATTCCATGTCTTTTTAGTTTGTATTATCTTAATCATGAATTAATAAAATATTTTTATGCACAAATACCAATAAATATGCACGCATTTTTTTAGAAATGCACGTCTTTATTGACAGTAACCTTACCCCATACAGCCGCTTCATGCTTCCTTCCAATACACACACACGGACCAATCACAGCGGAGATTCCTTGCGGCGACCCTTACGTAGTTAGAAAATTTCGATGCTGCGCGGCAGGCGACGTAAGGGCCTTGCGGTGACCAACGCGTTGCGCAAGTGACGTCAGGTCACCTCCGTAAGCTCCGCGCCGCGCGAGTATAAACTAGGCTTTTGCATTGAAACCCGACGCAACGCATGGTCCGGTCTGAACGCGCCGTTAAAAACTTTTCTCTGCTGCAGCGGTTCACAGCAGCAAACATCCTCGCTCTACATCAGAGAGCAGCCAAGTGATCACGCACGCTCGAAAACAACCAAAACAGGAGCTAAACCAGGATCAAACCAGGGCTGAGGACTGGGGTCAATGCTTGTAAACATATGTCTACACCATGGATCTATAATCTTGAGTTTCTACTTTGACTGTAAGTGCCGCTACAGAACGAAAGTTACGAATGTAACTACGGCTCTATGAATCCTGAAGGCCCGCCAGGGGCGGTGCTTAAATGCAAATTATTTCATAAATCGTGCGGTTTTGGATGTACATTAACATACATTGTAGATATAAAGAATCCTGAATATATTTAGAAATAAATATATGTTTTGCATTTTTATAGTAGGTAGATCATTTTGACTTTTGTAAGTAGCTCGCATGCTGAAAAAGTGTGAGCACCCCTGTTTTAGTTCAAATGCACACATCAAAAACGTAAGCTTTTGTACTCACTTCGAGTGCAGTGGATTTTGGGCTTAAGAAGTGTATGTTGTGGTCAGTGTGTGTGGAGGCGATGACAGAAACGTTATTTGATAGAAAGAAGTCCGTCTGATCATCCACAATGAACATGTGTTGCTTAAGCTTATGTATTCAGTCATTGTTCAATGGTAAACTAAAAATCCATGTAAAAAAATTACTTCTCACTGTTCTCAGGACAAATATTTATATGCGATTAAAATGCGATTAATTAGGATTAATTAATTACAAAGCCTCTAATTAATTAGATTTTTTTTTGTATCGAGTCCCAGCCCTAATATATATATATATATATACAGTATATATACTATTATTGTTTATTATTGTATTGTCTCTGTGTCTCTGTTTGTGTGTGTCTCTGTGTGTGTGTGTGTGTGTGTGTGTGCCAGGAGGACGAGCTAGCAGAGCTAGCCTCTCAGCAGTACTATGTGGACTATGGTCCTGAGCTGCTGCAGGAGCGGCTGCTCACACTGATCCCCTCGTACATCCCAGACCGAGAGATCTCCTCCGGGAAGAGCCCAGAGCGGTGGCTGTTGCTGGTGTCTGCGGCCCACAAGAAGGTACCATCAACACCATCAACACCAGCTCTGTCCCATGACCAGTTACATGTGTCCCATGACCAGCTACATGTGTCCCATGACCAGTTAACATGTGTCCCATGACCAGTTACATATGTCTTAAATACTGACTCAACCCTGGGAGCAATTGTAAACGCCTGAAGGGGTCTGTGTGTGTGTGTGTGTGTGTCTGCGCGCGTGTGTATGTGTGTGAGTAGGCCGTGCAGAGCCGCAGAAGGCCTAGCTCTCAGAAGGTGAAGGAGGACGTGGTGGACTTTGCTCGGATAAAATGGCCGCTGCTTTTCTCGCGCTTCTACGAAGCGTTCAAGTTCTCAGGTCAGACTCAAGGATTCACACTGATGATGGGACGGTCATAAACAGCACTGCACATGAAGAAGACAGACAGACACTCAGAGGGACAGACAGAGAGACAGACACTCAGAGGGACAGACCGACACTCTGAGAGACTGACTGACACTCAGACAGACACACAGACACACACACACAGACAGACCGACAGACATTGAGACAGACAGACGAGTGTTACGGCCGCATTAAGGGATGGGATCTTTTGAGATTCAGTTCATTGGTCCAGTATTTTTAAAAGAGTAATACAGATTAAAAGGTTTCTCATGTTGACAGGACCCAGTCTGCCAAAGAACGATGTGATCGTGGCCGTGAACTGGACTGGAGTCTACTTTGTGGACGAGCAGGAGCAGGTGCTGCTGGAACTCTCTTTCCCAGAGATAACTGCAGTCTCCAGCAGCAGGTAGAGTATGTCTTTTTTACATCTGATCATGAACATAACGACTGCTGTGTTGGAACAGAGCAGCTCAATCCACAGACTTAAAGCTGCGGTACCTGGATGTTTCCCCAACAGGAAGATAGACTATGATGTTGTCACTAGATTTATTGATTATCAAAATAAAACTGTAGATTTTAATGATCACTTTTTGAGCTCATTTAAGTCTGACACAAAGCTACATTTTGAACACAAACCCCATGAACCCTGCAGCCTCATATCCTCACGTCGGTGTTTGCTGGTTCAGGGTCGAGGCACTGGGCTGAAGGCGATCAGGCCTTTTCAGTCCGTGTTCCTCGGTTCACTATTCTGCTGAAATGTGCAACGATGACATTAAAATCTCCACTGAGCGACAAACAAAGCTTTTTGTGTCTGTCCCACACAGAGGAGGAAAACTGCAGGGTCAGAGCTTCACTCTGGCCACCGTCAAAGGAGACGAGTACACCTTCACCTCCAACAACGCAGAGGACATCCGAGAGCTGGTGGTCTGCTTCCTGGACGGTCTGCGGAGGAGGTCCAAGTATGTGGTGGCTCTGACGAACAGCCCCAACACAGACTCAGGTGAGACAGAAGAAACACTGACTCCGAGACACGGGCTAGTGTCTCGGAGTCAGTGACTCCGAGACACTAGCCCTCACTAACACCTCTCAACACAACAACGGTATTTTAGACCTACATTAATAAAACTCTTTTATAGACTGTGGGTCAGGTAAAGAAGGTTAGAAAACTCTTCACAATTATAATATTACTATAATATTTCATTTATAATGAAAAAGCTGTGGGAGAAAAATCAATTATCTTCAATACCGCAAAGTACATGGATACAGTAGATCAAAGTATTGCAATATTTAATTGAATAATTGTATGTTTCACTCTAGTGTTTAAAGTTTACTACACAACAGAATATCTGAAACAAGGTCCTATGTCCTGAATGTTCAAGGATCACTTTTTGCTCTTTCCTCCTCAGTGTTTGCTTCAGTTCATGTACAGACCATAATAAATGTCACAGAGACAAAAGTCTAATTTCCCTCCATGTTTGTAAAGTGAATAATATGAGGGACACAAATCACAATATATCACAGAATCACATACTGTCTGTATTGTGATATGTTCAGAATCACATACTGTCTGTATCGCAATATGTTAGAATCATATACTATCTGTATCGTGATATGTTCAGAATCACATACTGTCTGTATTGTGATATGTTTGAATCACATACTGTCTGTAAAGTGATATGTTCAGAATCACATACTGTCTGTATCGTGATATGTTCAGAATCACATACTGTCTGTATCGTGATATGTTAGAATCAAAATAATATTGAACTTAGGCCAAGTATCGCAGTAGTATTGAATCCTCACATGATCTTGTGTGTGTGCAGCTGCAGCAGACAGCTCGTTCCTCTCCTTCTGTAAAGGAGACCTCCTGATCCTGGACGAGCACGAGGGCGAGCAGGTCCTGACCTCCGGCTGGGCCCACGGACTCAACGACAGAACCAGGCTCAGGGGAGACTTCCCAGCGGACTGTGTGTACGTGCTGCCCGCCATCAGCCGCCCGTCCTACGACATTGTGGTCAGTGCAACAGAGAACCAGGGGGGGGAGGAAGAGGGGAGGGAGGAGGGAGCGGGGGAAGGAGAAGAGGGAGGGTGGTCACAGTGGGGAAATGTCAGTGTTGCATCGTCAGTTACAGAACAGATGAAAGAGGAGCACACAGCACTAGATGAGCAATAACTTTAAACTAAAATAAAATACAATCTCTTTATCATAATAAATAAGCAACTATAAAATCCTGTATATTTCAGTGCAGAAATATATAGTTATATGTTTACATCTGTATGTGTCTTTGTCTGTGTGTGTGTGTGTGTGTGTACATGTATGTGTTTGTGTGTGTACATGTATGTGTGTTTGTGTGCGTGTGTGTGTGTATGTGTGTGTGTATGTCTAGGCCCTGGTGTCCATGAGTCCGGACCAGAAGAGAGACCCTCAGCTGAGTGAGTGTGAGGAGGAGCAGAGAGCCAAGGCCTACACTCTGGAGGAGTTCTCCTACGACTACTTCAGGTTCTGAAACTTCACACTTCATCTGACTCTGAAACTTCACACTTCATCTGAAACTTCATCTGACTCTGAACATGAGCCCTACGTTCAATACATTTCATTCTTTGGTTTTAAAAGTTAAGAATGTCTGGACAAACATTATCAACATAATTCACCTGGATACTAACAACACATCATCAGGAGGAAAGACCACATGTCTCACCACGGTCTAAGTCTTCATGGTCTTAGGCCCCGTCCCAATTCTCACCCGTGCCCTTAGGTGTGAGTGCACTCACCAGCAAAGTGCCTTCCCAGTGGGGAGTGCAACATTCTCCCTAAGAATTGGGACACCCCTGGATCAAGGGGACAATATGCAAATGACGCAGCAGACGTGTTCCACATCACACGCATTATCAAAGTCCATCCATCCATCCATTTTCTTCCCCTTAATCCATTTCTGGGTCGGGGGGGTGGCAGTCAGAGCTGCACCCAGTACACTTAGCACCAGCCCCTCACTGATCCTCCTGCAGGTGGTGAGTCCACAGGAGTTGAGATCTTTCAGTGGGAGCTTCAGGCAAAGTGGGGTTAAGTGTCTTGCCCAAGGACACAACGACAGCAGTCATCAGTGGGAGTCGTGAAGTAGGTCTTATGGTGGGCTTGAACCCACGACCTTCAGGCCCAAAGGCCAATGCTCTACCAACTGAGCTACTGTCGCCCCCAAATTATCAAAGTCACCACAGATAAGAGCTGACACAGATATGACTTTATGAAACACTGAATTTATTAAAATGAGAAGTTTTTAATTCTATTTCATATGAAGTTTTGCACAGAACTGCTGCACATCACGCACTCAGAGACACATGTACACACACAGAGGCAGACACACACGCTCACACACAGACAGACGCATGTACATACGCGCACAGAGACGTACCACACAGACAGACACATGCACATACACATACGCGCACAGAGACGTACCACACAGACAGACACACGTACATACACGTACGCGCACAGAGACGTAACACACAGACAGACACATGTACATACACGTACCACACAGACAGACACATGTACATACACATACGCGCACAGAGACGCACCGCACAGACAGACACATGTACATACACATATGCGCACAGAGACGTACCACACAGACAGACACGTACATACACGTACGCGCACAGAGACGTACCACACAGACAGACACATGTACAATGTACATACACATACGCGCACAGAGACGCACCGCACAGACAGACACATGTACATACACATACGCGCACAGAGACAGACGGGTACAGCCGCAGTCCCGCGGATCACAAAGCAAACTGTGTCAAAGTGATGCTCTGAACTACATGGATCTATAATAATAACATGGATCCACGTCTCTGAAGCCTCACGCCACACACTGCGGCCACTTCGAACATCACCGCACACGACACCAACACAGGCATTAAACATTCTGAAAGACTCGCACACGCTTTGGAGCTTGCTCATGTTCCCCACAAGCAGTTTTGCCTCACAGCTACTTTACCAACAGCTATCGTAATGCATCATAGGATCACACTCGCTCGCAAGTGAGCTCCGGACCTCACTTGCGCTCAAGGATCACCCTGGGTATTGGGACACCCTTCCACTCCCGCGGGCACGCGCAAACTCTAGGGCAAGTGTGCTTTTTAAGGGCAAGGGTGAGAATTGGGACGGGGCCTAAGACTTCATGGACTAAGTCTTCATGGTCTAAGTCTTCATGGTCTAAGTCTTCATGGTCTAAGTCTTCATGGTCTAAGTCTTCATGGTCTAAGTCTTCATGGTCTAAGTCTTCATGGTCAGGGCTCTTCATGGTCAGAGCTCTTCATGGTCAGGGCTCTTCATGGTCAGGGCCCTTCATGGTCAGGTGCCTGAATATGTTCAGGGCCTGGTCCCTATGTCTCCATAAAGAGCCTGAAGTCCTCCTCTCAGAACCTGTTGGCAAGTACAGACAGGGTTTCTCTCCTCATGCACAGACAGAGTTTCTCTCCTCATGTACAGACAGGGTTTCTCTCCTCATGCACAGACAGAGTTGCTCTCCTCATGTACAGACAGGGTTTCTCTCCTCATGCACAGACAGAGTTTCTCTCCTCATGTACAGACATGGTTTCTCTCCTCATGCACAGACAGGGTTTCTCTCCTCATGCACAGACAGGGTTTCTTTCCTCATGCACAGACAGGGTTTCTCTCCTCACTGTGCACTCTCCTCAGACCTCCTCCGAAGAGCACCCTGAGCAGGATGATGTCAAAGACCAGAAGCAGAGAGCGGCTGTGGAGCTGCAGCCGAGAGCCGCTGAAGCTGCCGCTGCTCAAGAAGGTGATGTCACAGGACGAGCTGTGTCACGAGGCCTGCCAGGCCTTTCTCTATATCCTGCCTACTGTACCCCACACATACACACACACACACACCCACACACAGAGACAGACACACGCACAGACAGACACACACACAGACAGACACACACACAGACACACACACCTCTCTCTGTGTCCTGGCCTTAACTAGTGTACCCATCTTGAAGTACATGGGGGACTATCCGTGTAAACGTGTGCGCTTCGTGAACGAGCTCACGGATCAGATCTTTGAAGCGGCGCTGAAGGCGGAGCCTCTGAAGGACGAGGTCTTCTGCCAGATCCTGAAGCAGCTAACCGACAACCACATCAAGTACTGACACACTGACCGACAACCACATCAAGCACTGACACACTGACCAACAACCACATCAAGTGCTGACACACTGGACAACAACCACATCAAGTACTGACCAACACACTGACTGACAACCACATCAAGTACTGACCAACACACTGACTGACAACCACATCAAGTACTGACACGCTGACTGACAAACACATCAAGTACTGACCGACCCACTGACCGACAACCACATCAAGTACTGACACACTGATCGACAATCACATCAAGTACTGACACACTGACCGACAACCACATCAAGTACTGACCCACTGACCGACAACCACATCAAGTACTGACTGACACACTGACTTACAACCACATCAAGTACTGACACACTGCACAACAACCACATCAAGTACTGACAACCACATCAAGTACTGACACACTGAACGACAACCACATCAAGCACTGACTGACACACTGACCGACAACCACATCAAGTACTTACACACACTGACTAACTGACTGACACACTGTGTGTGCGCGCGCGTGCGTGCGTGCTGGAGGTTGTGATTGTTTGGAGGCTGTGATTGGCTGGAGGCTGTGATTGGCTGGAGGCTGTGATTGGCTGGAGGCTTTGATTGGCTGGAGGCTATGATTGGCTGGAGGCTATGATTGGCTGGAGGCTGTGATTGGCTGAAGGCTGTGATTGGCTGGAGGCTGTGATTGACAGCTGCTGTTGTCTCCAGGTACAGTGAGGAGAAGGGCTGGGAGCTGCTGTGGCTCTGCACTGGGCTGTTCCCTCCCAGCAACGCCCTCCTGCCCCATGTGCAGAAGTTCCTCCGGGCCAAGAAGCACTGCCCCCTGGCTCCGGACTGTATGCAGCGGCTGCAGAAGGCGCTCCGGTAACACAACACACAACACAACACAACAAACACCACAAAACAACACAACAAACAGCACTGTAGACTGTAGCCAGACATAAAAGACATTATTCTGTCCTTAAATGTGGTTAAATGTCCTGGATCACCACTTTTCATCCTTTACTTTGTGTAGCATGGTGTAATGTGTGTGTGTGTGTGTGTGTCTATGTCTCTCCATCTGTAGAAACGGCTGCCGGAAGTACCCCCCTCACCTGGTGGAAGTGGAGGCCATTCAGCACAAAACCACCCAGATCTTCCACAAGGTCTACTTCCCCGACGACTCGGACGAGGTGAGGCCTGTTGCCCACTTCATTACAGTCAACGTCTTCTTGTATCGCCCTTAATAACATCTCTGTACTCTTTACAAAGTTGTCGATTTGCCAACACAGATCAGAAAAACAAATAGTTCAAAGAAATTCAACAATGTGCGTCTCTCTCTGTGTGTGTGTGTGTTGCAGGCGTTTGAGGTGGAGTCCAGCACTAAAGCCAAAGACTTCTGTCACAACATCTCAGCTCGACTCCTGCTGCAGTCGTCTGAGGGCTTCAGCCTCTTCGTCAAGATCACAGACAAGGTCCACCCTGACTCTGACTGACTCTGACTGTGACTCTGACACTATGTAACAAACCGGCCGTTCGTTACCTAACCCACACGCACTTTATGCACACTGCACTTTTGAACATGGCTAGATTGCACATATAAAGACATTGCACATATATTCATTTAAGAATGTTTATTGAGAGGGCTGTGGTTGTCCGTGGGTCCGGTGTGGTGCGTTCCGGGTAGGGTGCCGGTCCTGCGGAGGCAACATGTAATTAGAATTGGGCATAGTGCAATATGTGTAGCTTAAGAAGTGGTAATGTTTTAGTGTTTCGAGCATGCGGTGAATGGTCGGGTGTCTGGGTGCGTGAATGTGTGTGTGAGCGCAGTTTGTTTACCTTGTCGTCTTGTGTCCAGGATAGCGGTGTCTGGCGGAAAGAGTCCGTGGGGAACGGACGCCGCTAAAATCCGTTCCGGGCTGGACCAAGGGGCAAAACAAGCGGGGGGGGGGAGGACTGCAGGGTTGTAATGGGTTTTAGGTCTTAGTTATTTAGTTGAGTGGTTTGGGTTGGTATTGTGTATAGTGGGGTTTTTCTATGTCTTTGTATTTTGGTTGGGGTTTATATTAGAGGGTTGTAGAGGTTGTGAGAGCAAATGTGACATGTGGACACCTGCTTATCTTGAGTGGTTTTATCCAATTTAGAGGGAGGGTATTTAAAGAGTCTCATGCTCTCACTCTGGGTTGGGCTGCTGGATGAGCTACACTGATTGAGTCCTCCCATGCACTTTAATGCATTTGCACTTTATTATGGTGAACTTTGCATTTTTGCACACAAAAAAATGTGAAAAGTGGACCCTCAAGACTGCCTCCCTGGTGTTTGTGGGCCCACCGCCGCCCGCTCGTGCCTCCCTGTTACACACTATAAACATTGGGGGGTTTTTATATAGCGCTTTTTTGGACTCACAAAGTCTCTTCACATCATTATTCTCTCTCTCCAAACACGGTGGTGATAAACTACTACTGTAGCCACAGCTGCCCTGGGGCACACTGACAGAAGCGAGGCAACCAGTCTGTGCCGTTGGCCCCTCCCACCACCACCAATCATTCACACACACACGACACTCATTCTAGGCAATGGGGGTGAAGTGTCTTGCCTAAGGACACATTGGCAGTTTGGCACTTTACAGTCGCAGTCACCCCACTGTGGCTGGTGTTCCCAGAGGTTAAGTGTCTTGCCAAGGCCACAAGGACAGCAGACAGTGGGAGTCGATGGAGAAAGTCTTGAGGTGGGCTCAAACCCACAACCTTCAGGCTCAAATGCCAATGCTATACACCCTGAGCTACTGTCGCCCTACACTGACACTGACTTTTGAGTATAATTACTGTATGTGAGTATAGTTACTGTATGTGAGTATAGTTGCTGTATGTGAGTATAGTTACTTTAGGTGAGTAATAGTTACTGTATGTGAGTATAGTTGCTGTATGTGAGTATAGTTACTGTATGTGAGTATAGTTGCTGTACGTGAGTATAGTTACTGTAGGTGAGTATAGTTACTTTAGGTGAGTATAGTTACTGTAGGTGAGTATAGTTACTTTTGGTGGGTATAGTTACTGTAGGTGAGTATAGTTACTTTAGGTGAGTATAGTTACAGTGTGAGTATAGTTACAGTAGGTGTGTATAGTTACTGTAGGTGAGTATAGTTACTGTATGTAAGTATAGTTGCTTTAAGTGAGTATAGTTACTTTAGGTGAGTATAGTTACAGTGTGTAAGTATAGTTACTTTAGGTGAGTATAGTTGCAGTATGTAAGTATAGTTACCTTAGGGGAGTATAGTTACAGTATGTAAGTACAGTTACTTTAGGTGAGTATAGTTACTGAATGTAAATCTCTGCAGGTGATCAGTGTTCCAGACGGAGACTTCTTCTTTGACTTCGTGCGGCACCTGACGGACTGGATCAAGAAGGCTCGACACGGCAAGGACGGTGGGTCTCTCATCAGGAGTGTGCTCTCTCATCAAGTCTTTACTCTCTCATCAGGCCTTTACTCTCTCATCAGGAGTGTGCTCTCTCATCAAGCCTTTACTCTCTCATCAGGCCTTTACTCTCTGATCAGGCCACTACTCTCTCATCAGGAGTGTGCTCTCTCATCAGGCCTTTACTCTCTCATCTGGAGTGTGCTCTCTCATCAGGCATATACTCTCTCATCAGGCCTCTACTCTCTCATCAGGAGTGTGCTCTCTCATCAGGCCTTTACTCTCTCATCAGGCCTTTACTCTCTCATCAGGAGTGTGCTTTCTCATCAGGAGTGTGCTCTCATCAGGAGTGTGCTCTCTCATCAGGATTGTGCTCTCTCTTCAGGCCTCTGCTCTCTCATCAGGCCTTTACTCTCTCATCAGGCCTTTACTCTCTCATCAGGCGTCTACTCTCTCAGCAGGCCTTTACACTCTCATCAGGCCTTTACTCTCTCATCAGGAGTGTGCTCTCTCATCAGGCCTCTACTCTCACATCAGGCCTTCACTCTCTCATCATCAGGCCTTTACTCTCTCATCAGGCCTCTGATATGTGTTTCTGATGTGTGTGTCTGATGTGTCCACAGGGGGGCAGGCTCCTGTGCTCACGTACCAGGTGTTCTTCATGAAGAAGCTGTGGACCAACACCAGCCCCGGGAAGGACTCCATGGCCGACTCCATCTTCCACTACTACCAGGTCCATAGTCCTAGACCATAGTCCAGAACCATAGTCCTACACCAGGTCCATAGTCCTAGACCAACTCCATAGTCCTACACCAGGTCCATAGTCCTAGACCAACTCCATAGTCCTACACCAGGACCATAGTCCTAGACCAGGTCCATAGTCCTAGACCATAGTCCAGGACCATAGTCGTACACCAGGTCCATAGTCCTACACCAGGACCATAGTCCTAGACCATAGTCCAGGCTCATAGTCCTACACCAGGTCCATAGTCCAGGACCATAGTCCTACACTAGGACCATAGTCCTAGACCAGAACCATAGTCCTACACCAGGTCCATAGTCCTAGACCAAGTCCATAGTCCTAGACCAGGTCCATATTCCTAGACCAGGTCCATATTCCTAGACCAGGACCATAGTCCTAGACCAGGACCATAGTCCTAGACCAGGTCCATTGTTCCAGACCAGGACCATAGTCCTAGACCAGGACCATACTGTAGTCCTAGACTAGGACCATAGTCCTACACCAGTCTGAGCCACAGCTCCTGTGCATGTGCCATCAGTGCATCTGTGACCTGTCGTCCTGAATATCTGCTGTGTGTGTGTGTTCTAAATGTGTGTGTGTGTTCTAAATGTGTGTGTGTGTATGCTGTGTGTGTGTGTGTCTGCTGCGCGTGTGTGTGTTCTAAATGTGTGTGTCCAGGAGCTGCCTAAGTACCTGCGTGGGTACCATCAGTGCAGTCAGGACGAGGTGCTGCAGCTCGGGGCCCTGATCTACAGAGTGAAGCACGAGGAGGACCTCAGCAGCCTCAGCCTCAGGGGCCTCAAGGACCTCGTTCCTCAGGACATGATCCGCCTCATGGCCCCCGAGGACTGGAGGATGGTGGGTCACATGCTAACACAGATACACTAACAACTGGAGGAGGGTGGGTCACATGCTAACACAGGCACACTAACATCTGGAAGAGGGTGTGTCACATGCTAGCACAGACACACTAACAACTGGAAGAGGGTGCGTCACATGCTAACACAGATACACTTAGAACTGGGGGAGGGTGGGTCACATGCTAACACAGATACAGTAACAACTGGAGGAGGTTGGGTCACATGCTAATACACACTAAACATCCTTTACTCCTATCACTGTGGGGACATTCATAGGAGCACACAGCAGACATCCTTTACCGCCATCACTGTGGGGACATTCATAGCAGCACACAGCAGACATCCTTTACACCTGTCACTGTGAGGACATTCATAGCCGCACACAGCAGACATCTTTTACTCCTATCACTGTGGGGACATTCATAGCAGCACACAGCAGACATCCTTTACTCCTATCACTGTGGGGACATTCATAGCAGCACACGGCAGACATCCTTTAAGCCTAGTTTATACTCGCGCGGCGCGGAGCTTACGGAGGTGACGTGACGTCACTTGTGCAACGCGTTGGTCACCGCAAGGCCCTTATGTTGCCTGCCGCGCAGCCTCGACATTTTCTAACTACGCAAGGGTCACCGCTGTGATTGGTCCGTGTGTGTGTTTTGGGCGGAAGCATGAAGCGGCTGCAGCAGGGACAATGGACGAGACTGTGGACTAGAGTTCTGTTGCATATCTAACTTATATATAACTTATAAACTGTGGTCGTTTCTTTTGCACTGTTCCCGTCTTTGTTTTAATCCGCACTCGTTCCATTCCTCCTGCACTTATAAATTGTTCATGTTTGCCTCAGATGTTTACCACTTTTATTGTTTTGCTGTTTGTGCTGAATACAATTTAATAATAACTATGTTTCCAACAAGAACTGTGTCTTTATTCACAACATCACAGTTAAATGAGTTAAGAAAAATGAGTCCATAGAACTATCACATAAACCTACAGTAGAAACACATGTAATGATCTCAAACAGCTCGGTTTGTTCATGTTTTTGTTCTGAAGAGGAGAAAGAATCAGCGTAAATGAGACCGCTTTGGTATCTCAAGCAACTCCTGTGAGATCGCCATTATGTGGTTGGTTGTGGGATTACAACATTCTCCTCAAAACTCCGCAAGGAGTATAAATTAAATTGTGCTTGCGTAGGTCCACCGCAACCTCTAACGTAAGCAGTGCCGCGCGAGTATACACTAGGCTTTACTCCTATCACTGTTGGGACATTCATAGCAGCACACGGCAGCAGGTTGCTGTTTACTACATTGTGTTTGTTCATATTTAACCCATTCAAACAGAAGTTCCTACTTTCATGAGGACAAAACCACCATTCATGCAGAAGCAACACAGGGGCTTAAAAGGCACAGAAACTTTGGAATATTTTTATTTATTTATTTGACAGGGACATTGCACAATAAATGTATTGTTCAGACCGGATATAGCTACAGGCTAATTTTCATCCGTAGTCCCTGAGGCAGATAATAAAAACGTACATGGAATGTGAAATAAAACATATATGTATATATATATATATATATATATATATATATATATATATATATATATATATATATATATATATATATATATATACATAAACAAGCATCTGCAATAATAAATAATAATCAGAATAATGATAATTATTGTCAATAAGTTTATGTGTCTATGTGTGCGTCTGTGTGTGTGTCTTTGTCTCTGTGTGTGTGTGTGTGTGTGTGTGTGTGTGTGTAGTCCATTCAGTCGGTGTACCACACACACTCAGGGATGAGCAGAGAAGAGGCCAAACTCTCCTTCCTCAAAATCATTCACAAGTGGCCAACCTTTGGCTCCGCCTTCTTCGAGGTCAAGGTAATACACACACACACACATACACACGAACACACACACACATATTCTCAAAGAATAAGGGTGGGCGCATTTCTCCCCGGGAGAGAGCGCATGAAATCTGTCTTGAAAAAGAGCAATGACAGGTCCCAGGACCAAGGGGAGTCCCTGGAGGTTTTAACCCCGAAAAAAGCTCTGAAATCCGGCTTAAAATAGGGCTATGCGGGTCCCAGAACCGAGGGGATTCTGTGGAGGTTCTATCCCCGAAAAAAGCTTAGAAATCCGGGCATAAATGCAGCACTGGCAAGCCTGAAACCCAGGGGGGTCCTCGGAGGTTTTAACCCCGAAAAAAGCCCTTAAATCCGGCTTAAAATAGGGCCATAAGGGTCCCAGAACCGAGGGGATTCTGTGGAGGTTCTATCCCCGAAAAAAGCTTAGAAATCCGGGCATAAATGCAGCACTGGCAAGCCTGAGACCCAGGGGGGGTCCTCGGAGGTTTTAACCCCGAAAAAAGCCCTTAAATCCGGCTTAAAATAGGGCCATGCGGGTCCCAGAACCGAGGGGATTCTGTGGAGGTTCTATCCCCAAAAAAAGCTTAGAAATCCGGGCATAAATGCAGCACTGGCAAGCATGAGACCCAGGGGGGGTCCTCGGAGGTTTTAACCCCGAAAAAAGCCCTTAAATCCGGCTTAAAATAGGGCCATGCGGGTCCTAGAACCGAGGGGATTCTGTGGAGGTTCTATCCCCGAAAAAAAACTTAGAAATCCGGGCATAAATACAGCACTGGCAAGGCTGAGACCCAGGGGGGGTCCTCGGAGGTTTTAACCCCGAAAAAAGACCTTATATCCGGCTTAAAATAGGGCCATGCGGGTCCCAGAACCGAGGGGATTCTGTGGAGGTTCTATCCCCGAAAAAAGCTTAGAAATCCGGCTTAAAATAGGGCCATGCGGGTCCCAGAACTGAGGGGATTCTGTGGAGGTTCTATCCCCAAAAAAAACTTAGAAATCCGGGCATAAATGCAGCACTGGCAAGCATGAGACCCAGGGGGGGTCCTCGGAGGTTTTAACCCCGAAAAAAGCCCTTAAATCCGGCTTAAAATAGGGCCATGCGGGTCCTAGAACCGAGGGGATTCTGTGGAGGTTCTATCCCCGAAAAAAAACTTAGAAATCCGGGCATAAATACAGCACTGGCAAGGCTGAGACCCAGGGGGGGTCCTCGGAGGTTTTAACCCCGAAAAAAGCCCTTAAATCCGGCTTAAAATAGGGCCATGCGGGTCCTAGAACCGAGGGGATTCTGTGGAGGTTCTATCCCCGAAAAAAAACTTAGAAATCCGGGCATAAATACAGCACTGGCAAGGCTGAGACCCAGGGGGGGTCCTCGGAGGTTTTAACCCCGAAAAAAGACCTTAAATCCGGCTTAAAATAGGGCCATGCGGGTCCCAGAACCGAGGGGATTCTGTGGAGGTTCTATCCCCGAAAAAAGCTTAGAAATCCGGCTTAAAATAGGGCCATGCGGGTCCCAGAACTGAGGGGATTCTGTGGAGGTTCTATCCCCAAAAAAAACTTAGAAATCCGGGCATAAATGCAGCACTGGCAAGCATGAGACCCAGGGGGGGTCCTCGGAGGTTTTAACCCCGAAAAAAGCCCTTAAATCCGGCTTAAAATAGGGCCATGCGGGTCCCAGAACCGAGGGGATTATGTGGAGGTTCTATCCCCGAAAAAAGCGTAGAAATCCGGGCATAAATGCAGCACTGGCAAGCCTGAGACCCAGGGGGGGTCCTCGGAGGTTTTAACCCCGAAAAAAGCCCTTAAATCCGGCTTAAAATAGGGCCATGCGGGTCCCAGAACCGAGGGGATTCTGTGGAGGTTCTATCCCCAAAAAAAGCTTAGAAATCCGGGCATAAATGCAGCACTGGCAAGCCTGAGACCCAGGGGGGGTCCTCGGAGGTTTTAACCCCGAAAAAAGCCCTTAAATCCGGCTTAAAATAGGGCCATGCGGGTACCAGAACCGAGGGGATTCTGTGGAGGTTCTATCCCCGAAAAAAGCTTAGAAATCCGGGCATAAATGCAGCACTGGCAAGCCTGAGACCCAGGGGGGGTCCTCGGAGGTTTTAACCCCGAAAAAAGCCCTTAAATCCGGCTTAAAATAGGGCCATGCGGGTCCCAGAACCGAGGGGATTCTGTGGAGGTTCTATCCCCGAAAAAAGCGTAGAAATCCGGGCATAAATGCAGCACTGGCCAGCCTGAGACCCAGGGGGGGTCCTCGGAGGTTTTAACCCCGAAAAAAGCCCTTAAATCCGGCTTAAAATAGGGCCATGCGGGTCCCAGAACCGAGGGGATTCTGTGGAGGTTCTATCCCCGAAAAAAGCGTAGAAATCCGGCTTAAAATAGGGCCATGCGGGTCCCAGAACCGAGGGGATTCTGTGGAGGTTCTATCCCCGAAAAAAATCTTAGAAATCCGGGCATAAATGCAGCACTGGCAAGCCTGAGACCCAGGGGGGGGGGGTCCTCGGAGGTTTTAACCCCGAAAAAAGCCCTTAAATCCGGCTTAAAATAGGGCCATGCGGGTCCCAGAACCGAGGGGATTATGTGGAGGTTCTATCCCCGAAAAAAGCGTAGAAATCCGGGCATAAATGCAGCACTGGCAAGCCTGAGACCCAGGGGGGGTCCTCGGAGGTTTTAACCCCGAAAAAAGCCCTTAAATCCGGCTTAAAATAGGGCCATGCGGGTCCCAGAACCGAGGGGATTCTGTGGAGGTTCTATCCCCGAAAAAAGCTTAGAAATCCGGGCATAAATGCAGCACTGGCAAGCCTGAGACCCAGGGGGGGGTCCTCGGAGGTTTTAACCCCAAAAAAAGCCCTTAAATCCGGCTTAAAATAGGGCCATGCGGGTACCAGAACCGAGGGGATTCTGTGGAGGTTCTATCCCCGAAAAAAGCTTCGAAATCCGGGCATAAATGCAGCACTGGCAAGCCTGAGACCCAGGGGGGGTCCTCAGAGGTTTTAACCCCAAAAAAAGCCCTTAAATTCGGCTTAAAATAGGGCCATGCGGGTCCCAGAACCGAGGGGATTCTGTGGAGGTTCTATCCCCGAAAAAAGCTTAGAAATCCGGGCATAAATGCAGCACTGGCAAGCCTGAGACCCAGGGGGAGTCCCTGGAGGTTTTAACCTTAAAAAAAGCCCTTAAATCCGGCTTAAAATAGGGCCATGCGGGTCCCAGAACCGAGGGAATTCTGTGGAGGTTCTATCCCCGAAAAAAGCTTAGAAATCCGGGCATAAATGCAGCACTGGCAAGCCTGAGAACCAGGGGGGGTCCTCAGAGGTTTTAACCCCAAAAAAAGCCCTTAAATCCGGCTTAAAACAGGGCCATGCGGGTCCCAGAACCGAGGGGATTCTGTGGAGGTTCTATCCCCAAAAAAAGCGTAGAAATCCGGGCATAAATGCAGCACTGGCAAGCCTGAGACCCAGGGGGGTCCTCGGAGGTTTTAACCTGATACGGCTCGAAATAGAGCCATCACAGGCCTGGTGCTCCAAGCAAATGTGAAAATAATTCTAAGTGCTGTGCAGGATTCGAACCTGCGTGGGAGGACCTCAATGACTCTCCATTCCATCGCCTTTGCCACTCGGCCACAGCGAGCCCAGTACTACAGCATAGACACTTCTCCAGGGGGGCTAGGGTTAGGCGTGGGGAAGGCCTGGACCTCCAGGGGGGCTAGGGTTAGGCGTGGGGAAGGCCTGGTTCTCCAGGGGGGTTACAGTTAGGCGTAGGGAAGGCCTGGACCTCCAGGGAGGCTAGGTTCAGGTGTGGGAGCGCCCTGCTCCTCCAGGACCTCCAGGGGGGCTAGGCCTAAGCCTGCAAGAAAAGTGTTCTTCGCCCGACCACCGCGCCTATAAGGGCCCAGCCCCAGCACCCCGAGGTGGGAGTCTGGCGTCTCTGTGCATCCGGGAGAGACAGGGCGTTTCGGTCTAGCCACTGACAGGTCCGCCGATAGCCCCTAGCCCGCGCCGGAGCCATGCGAATAGAGTCAGGCATGCTGTGTGGAGGAACCTTCCGGCTCGAATAACTTCCACCAGGGGCCCTGCAGAGGCATGCCGTGTGTACCATTCGAACGGCCTCGTCCAGACGAATCCGTAGATACCACATTTGTATGGGTTTATTCTCATTCCGAGATTGAGACCACGACGGGCAGGCGCTTCAGGTCATCCCACAGTCACTCACCTTCCATCGGACTGATATTCTCTGCCTGTAGCCTGGATGTCTCTGGATTGAAACACATACTCTCTCATATTCCCCATATAGGTCCCTTGGAGAAAGTGGTTTGACCTCGCCTTTTTAGGCCTCAGGAATTTGCGTTAGCCCGGGAGTCCCGGGCTGACACTTAGTTTTTTTCTCAAAACACTTAGTCTGATTTTCAAAACGTGGCTGGTACTACAGCCTAAACACTTAGGTTTTTTTTCACACTTGAAAATAAGACTAAGTGTTATGGCACTTAGAATTATTTTCAAAATCCCCACGTAGTCCCAGGCACACTGAGTTTTGCCGAGTGCTCGTGGAGCCCTTTAGGCCGCACGCGAGGGGGTGGGGGGAGGCATTACACCTCCACAGAGTCTCCGTGGTTCTGGGACCTGCATTGCTCTATATCAAGCCGGATTTCAGGGGCTTTTTTGGGGAGAAATCCTCCGCACACTCACGCTGGCTCTCAGGCTCGCCAGTGGTGCATTTAGGACCGTTTTTTCACGCGTTTTTCGGGCATTACACCTCCACAGAGTCTCCGTGGTTCTGGGACCTGCATTGCTCTATATCAAGCCGCATTTCAGGGGCTTTTTTCGGGGAGAAATCCTCCGCACACTCACGCTGGCTCTCAGGCTCGCCAGTGGTGCATTTAGGCCCGTTTTTTCACGCGTTTTTCGGGGATTACACCTCCACAGGGACTCCGCTGTTCTGGGGCCTGCATGGCTCTAAATCAAGCCGGATTTCAGGGCCTTTTTTTGGGTTAAATCATCCGCACACTCCCGCTGGCTCTCAGGCTCGCCAGTGGTGCATTTAGGACCGTTTTTTCACGCGTTTTTCGGGGATTACACCTCCACAGAGTCTCCGTGGTTCTGGGACCTGCATTGCTCTATATCAAGCCGCATTTCAGGGGCTTTTTTCGGGGAGAAATCCTCCGCACACTCACGCTGGCTCTCAGGCTCGCCAGTGGTGCATTTAGGATAGACAGAGGCTTTACCCAACGCACTCCCTCCGACCTGGCTACAGCCTCCGTGAATTTCACTCATAGGAAATGACAGACAAAAAAGTTTACGGCCTGGCCAAAAGGCTCTTGAGCTCGCTAGACACTTTGTCAGTTTTTCATCCTAATGCCTGTGTGCCTAGGAAAAGAATCTTCCAGAAATTGGTTAATATCATCGCAGAGGCCCAGAGACTCGCGGTCTGTACCCAGGGACTCGTCTTGGCCCGGGCTAACCTCCCTTGAGTTTCAACGCACGGGGACTAAGACGGAATGTTTCGCCGTCCCTAAATCAGCGGGGGACAGCGCGGCCGTGTCCCTCCACGACGCCATTCCGGTCAAGAAAGTCTCCCCCCCCCCCCCATATAGACTTACACAAACCTATCCCCCCCCCCCCCCCCCCCCCCCCCCATTTTTAGCATAAAACCAGGAGGAAGACAGGGATGAGACAGACAACAACTAGGAGAAAGACAGGAGAGGAACCAGGACAACACTAGGAGAATGACAGGAGAGGACACACGGGCCACCATAGGAGCGAAAGGTACAGAGGACAGGACAAACACTAGGAGCTCTCTGGACAGAGGACCAGGACAAAAACTAGGAGAAAGACGAGGACCAGGGAACAACACTAGGAGAGAAGGTCTTCGGTGTTACCTCGGTTTCCTCCGGCGCTGGCACTAGTCTGCTGTGCTCAAGCCTCTCGTGTGGTGCCTGCAGAAGTGACACGGCTCTCCCTCTCTACTCAGAAGGCTTGGCGGAAGGATGCCCTGCAGGCGGCGGATCCGGGTCCGGTCTTCAGGGTTTCTGCTAGTTAACTCTGGTGGACTGCGGGTCCTGTACACGGAGGAGCGCAGAAAACCCCCTATTCATCAGCGATGTCTTGCGGACCCAATTCGATGGATGGCCAAGAGCCCAGATATTAACGCTCTTTAAAAGTTAATACGAATATACATCAACCCCCCCCACACACACATGAGAATAATTGGACATCAATTACATCAGTTTTATAACAGCGCATAGTCTCTTCACATCATTATTCTCTCTTGCAATCACAGCGGGTGTTTATTTACTATTTGTAGCCACAGGCTTGCCCTGGGGGCACACTGGACAGAAGCCCCTCCCACCTACCACCAACCCATTCCCACCACACACCTGGACTCATTCTAGGCAAATGGAGGTGGATGAGTGTCTTGGCCTAAGGGACACAACGGCAGTTTGGCCACTTTACAGCTTACGCAGCCGCCGGACGTGGTGGCACCTGCCTGTTTACCATAGGTCTCCCATCACAGCCACTAACCGGGCCCTGCCCTGCTTTAGCTTCAGAGGTCGTCGAATGACTTGATCCAGTGACTTTCACCTCACAGGGGGGCGCCACAGATGGTTTTTACTTTTCATCTTTGAGAAAGTTATAAGCTACAGATCCTGAGTCTGAAGGTTTTCATGTGTGTCTAGCTCATTCGTTGGTGTCAAAGGTTTATGATCCTTGGAAGAAAGTCTTCCACGGTCCAGAGTCCCAGGCTCATGCCCAGGTCCAAACCTTCATTTCCTCATCAGTGCAGAGTTAATCTGTGAACAGTCGATTGTCCTTGTGGAAGTTCCTTCTTTACACATGTACGCACTTCCTCACAGTCATGGAGCACTGTGGCTAGCTATGTCGCATTCTTCTGGATGGTGGTCCTGGCACTAACACAGACACAGACACACACAGACACACACACATACCAGGTAACTCATACTGTCTACTCATGCCCTCATTTTGTCAGTTGGGTTGATTTGGAAGTAGGCAATTGCTTTTGTGGATATTGGGTCTGTGGTGGTGTGTGTGTCGTGACTGTCTGGTGTGGGGTGTTGTGTCCCCCGTCCCCGCCCTGTCGCCTCGTCAGCTTCCCTTGTGCTGCGTCTCTCTATGAAGTCTCCACTGCACTGTTTATATAAACAATAGATAATTAAAGGAGACAGAAGGTCCCCATTTTTCCATTGAGGAGAGAGGAATTGTCCTAGCTGTATCGAGTTTTCTGGAAGGCACCCCAGATGTGGTCCTAAGTATTATGTGGAATACAGAGAACAGTGGGATGTCGCTCCAGCAGAGGACCCTCGGCCGCCTCCCCTACCTCTCACGCGCTGTCCCTCGCACTCACCGCTCGCTTCTTAGGATCAGGGATGACTTTGTCCTGTGATGCTTTGTCCCTCTCCATCTCCAGCTTAAGGTCGTGGTGGTCCTGGAGAACAAGGAGCCTGCGCAGGCTAACTCACACACGCTTACGATATATAGCACCCGCCCACAAATGCCGCAGAGTGCTACAAATGATGCTTACACCAGGATAACTACACCCAATGCCTATCACCGGATGCTACAACCGAGGCTGACACCAATGCTAAATCAATGCTACAGTGTGTGTGCGTACATCCAATGGCTTCAATTTTCCCGTGGATTCCAGACCTTGGGGAAGATCTTAGTCTTCCCGATTTGCCAGTCTCCGTGTTTGCCAAGTCTGTCCAGGACGATCTGTCTGCAAAGTCCCCCCACAGATCCTCCTGTAAAAGTACAAGTATCACACTATGTACGTACTAATTTGTTATGTTTGTGGTTCTGCTGCTGGAACGCCTGAGTTTCATCTACAGGGCATCCAGCACACACGTGCCCCCCCCCCCCCCTGTATTATCTGTAAAGTGTGTATTACTGCATGGTGTTGTGGTGAACTGTAGTGTGTATTACCTGATGTGTGTTTACCTGCATGTGTGTATTATCCTGTATGTATTTATTACCTGCATGTGTGTATTACCTGTATGTGTGTATTACCTGTATGTGTGTATTACGTGTATGTGTATTACCTGCATGTGTGTGTTACTTGCATGTGTGTATTACCTGTATGTGTATTACCTTTATGTGTGTATTTACTCCATGTGTGTGTGTGTGTTACCTGAATGTGTGTATTAACTGCATGTGTGTGTTACCTGCATGTGTGTGTCTCACTGCATGTGTGTGATTACCTGCATGTGTGTGTGTCACTGCATGTGTGAGGTTTCTGCATGTGTGTGTGTCACTGCATGTGTGTGGTACCTGCATGTGTGTATTACCTGCCTGTGTGTGTTACCTGCATGTGTGTGTGTCACTGCATGTGTGTGGTACCTGCATGTGTGTATTACCTGCATGTGTGTGTTATCTTTATTTGTGTATTACCTGCACGTGTGTGTTACCTGCATGTGTGTGGTACCTGCATGTCTTTATTACCTGCATGTGTGTGTCACTGCATGTGTGTGGTACCTGCATGTGTGTGTTTTCTTTATGTGTGTATTAAACTGCATGTGTTGTGTATTACCTGCATGTGTGTGTTACCTTTATGTAACACACCAGGACAGGGGGCGCACCCCGCTCCATCTCTGTGTGGAGTGAGAGACAAATGCCTAAAAATAACAATTGTAATCCGCTTTGTGACTCTGGTCTGTGAAAGGCGGTATATAAATAAACATTACTTACTTACTTACTTACCTGTATGTGTGTGTTACCTGTATGTGTGTGAATTTTCATACAGGTAACACACGATTTTAAGGTTCTTTTAATGGTTTTTAAATGTCTTACATGGTCTTGGGCCTTCTTATCTTTCAGATTTGCTTTTATCCTATGAACCTTCCCGGCCCCTGCGCTCCTCCGGCAGCAGACTCCTAACCATCCCCAAAGTCAGGACACACACTCAACGGCGAGGCATCTTTCCAGCACTATGGCCCCCGTCTCTGGAACAGTCTGCCGCAGGAGCTCAGGCCGCAGAGAATCTTCATATTTTTAAGAGTAGGCTCAGAAGACGCACCTATTGTTATTATCAATATTAGGCAGCTGCCATTTTTCTTTTTAGTGTCTCATTTTATTAGTAAGTAAGTAAGTAATGTTTATTTATATACCACCTTTCACATACCAGAGTCACAAAGCGGTTTACAATTGTTGTTTTTGGGCACTTGTCCTCTCACTCCACACAGAGATGGGAGCAGGGTCGCCGAACAGGAGGCGCATGCCAGACCTATTGTACATATTTTTAGAAGTAGGGGAAACTGGAGTACCCGGAGGAAACCTACAGGTTTCCTTATTCCTTATTGTTCTACTTTAAGGATCTGGCTCTTGGATCCGGTGGGGGTCTGGGGCCTCCTCTCTCTTCTGGGTCCTATGGGGTCTGACTCGTGGGCCTGGTGGGGTCTGGGGCCCCTCTCTCCTCTGGGTCCTGTGTCGTTCCCTGTGGCTGCAGCCGGCTCTCTGCTCCTGGTGCAGATGGCTCCTTGGATGGCGCTTCTTCAGCCAGTTACATCTGCTCCCAGCCCCATTTCTTTTTATTGTTTTACCTATTGTACCTGATGTGACTTTATACTTGTGTGTGTGTGTGTGTGTGTGTGTGTGTGTGTGTGTGTGTGTGTGTGTGTGTGTGTATACGTGTGTGTATTGTATATATAATTATAAATGTGGTTTTGGGGGGGTCTGTGGGGAGGTGGGTTTAGGGCTGGGCATGTTGGATTGTTTTTAACTAAACTGTAAAGCACTTTGTGTTACATTTTTTGTATGAAAGCGCTTTATAAATAAAATTTGATTAATTGATTGATTGACCTGTATGTGTGTGTGTCACTGCATGTGTGGTACCTGTATGTGTGTATTACCTGCATGTGTGTGTTACCTTCTTGTGTGTGTTACTGCATGTGTGTGTGTTACTGCATGTGTGTGGTACCTGCATGTGTGTCTTACCTGCATGTGTGTGTTACTGCATGTGTGTGTTACCTGCATGTGTGTGTTGCTGCACGTGTGTGTTACCTGCATGTAAGTGTTTCTGAATGTAAGTGTTTCTGAATGTATGTGTTTCTGCATGTGTGTGTTTCTGCATGTGTGTGTTACCTGGGTTAAGGCCATCATTTAGTTTATATTAAAAATGTCTAAAAAGTCTAAATTTAGTTCTGAAATTTAAGATAATCCTGAAATATTATCTTTTTACTTATGATAATGTTTAATATAGAAGTCTCAAATATTCCTTGTTTAGAGCTAGAGAGGGCGGGACAAAGACAAAGTATTCAAAGATGGGACAGGTGTGGGGGAATGGGGATAATGAGGGTGACCCACATGGTTTTTGACTGCACGCACACAACGCTATTTGATTTGAAAATAAAACTTTGGAAATGGATCTACGGCTACGTGTTGTGTTTGATGCTGTGAGTCAGACAGCAGACACCCAAAGGATGGCTACATGATTGCTTAGAAGCCATACAACCTGCATGAATGTGTTGCTGCATGTGTGTGTGTTACCTGCATTTGTGTATTACTGCATGTGTGTTTTACCTGCATGTTTGTGTTACTACATGTGTGTGTTACCTGCATATGTGTGTTACTGCATGTGTGTGTTTCTGCATGTGTGTGTTACTGCATGTGTGTATCATGTGTGTGTGTTACCTGCATGTGTGCGGGTTTGACCCCGGGCATTAGGACCCTGTAGCGCTCCACAAACTCTGCAAAGCTGTATCTGATTGGATAACCAGCTCGTCTGATCCTGATGGTCTCCATCATCCCAGAGTACCTCAGCTGACGCACACACAACTCCCTGTTGAACAGCTACACAGGAGGCATGGAAGAATACAACTGAGACACACAACACAGCTGAGACACACAACTCCCTGTCAAACAGCTACACAGGAGGCATGGAGGAACACAACTGAGACACACAACAAACACTGGATACACAACCCACACTGACACACACACACAACTCCCTGTCGAACAGCTACAAACACAGGATGTATAGAGGAACACAACTGAGACACTCAATCCACACTGGACACACACACAACACACACTGGACACAACTGGGACACACTGAACACAAAAAAGTGTGTAAGTATGTTGGTACCATGGGTCTGTTTTGTGTGTGTGTGTGTACCATGGGTCTCTTGTGTGTGTGTGTGTGTGTGTGTATACCTTGGGTCTCGTGTGTGTGTGTGTGTACCATGGGTCTCTTGTGTTCGTTGGGTTTGATGCAGCGCACAAAGAAAGGCTGACACACACTCAGAGTCCTCATCAGCAGGTCCAGGGAGCGCTTGAACTGACTGCTCAGAGTGGGGGACCTCTTCCTGGTCTCTGCACCCTGCAACACACACACATATAAACACAGACACACACATACTAATCTATAATATGGACTAAAGTGATGTGTGAAGGATGTCAGACAGATGCAGGTTTAGTTCAAAACAATCTCATGATTCTCTAATGATCTAAACAATAATGAAAATACTGTTTGTTCTGCTCCATCCTCAGACTTTCACATCTGCACGTTTACACCTGTACGTTTACACCTGTATGTTTACACCTGTATGTTTACATTTGTATGTTCACATCTGTATGTTTACACCTGTACGTTTACACCTGTATGTTTACATCTGTATGTTTTCACCTGTATGTTTACATCTATATGTTCACACCTGTATGTTTACATCGGTATGTTTACACCTGTATGTTTAAATCTGTTGGTTTACATCTGTATGTTTACGCCTGTATGTTTACATCTGTATGTTTACACCTGTATTTTTACATATGTGTGTTTACACCTGTATGTTTATATCTGTATGTTTACACCTGTATGTTTACATCTGTATGTTCACACCTGTGTGTTCACACCTGTATGTTTACACCTGTATGTTTACACCTGTATGTTTACACCTGTATGTTTACATCTGTATGTTTACACCTGTATGTTTACATCTGTATGTTTACACCTGTATGTTTACACCTGTATGTTTACACCTTTATGTTCACACCTGTATGTTTACACCTGTATGTTTACATCTGTATTTTTACACCTGTATGTTCACACCTGTATGTTTACTGTATAAAACAAGGGCCCAACAGATTCCAGGATAATTCAAAGATATTCCATTAAATATAAATAAACCCATCAATAAAGATGAATGCACAAAGAACACCACACGATGCTGTTGTTAGAACACACACAACACATGCATGACACACACATGACACACGTATGACACACACATGACACACGCATGACACAAGTATGACAAACGTATTACACACGCATGAACCACACTTTAACACACGCATAACACACGTATGACACACGCAAAACACACGTATGACACAGGTTTGACACACGTATGACACACGCATGACACGCGCATAACACACGTATGACACACGCATGACACACACATGTCACACGCATGACACACGTATGACACAGGTTTGACACACGTATGACACACATGTGACACAGGTTTGCAACACGCATGACACACGCATGTCACACGCATGACTCACGCATGACACATGTATGTCACACGCATTACACATGTATGACACACGCATGACACACGTATAAAACACCTATGACACACGCATGACACACGTATGCCACACGTATGACATACGCATGCCACACTCTTAAAACACGTATCACACTCGCATGACACACGTTTAAAACATGCATGTCACACGTATGACACACGCATGACACACGTATGACACACGCATGACACATGTATGACACACGCATGACACACGTATGACACACGTATGACACACGCATGACACATGAATGACCCACGCCTGACACACGCATGACACACATGACACATGTGTGTCACACGCATGACACATGTATGAGCCAAAGTAGGACAGGGTTAGGACGCCCTGGGCTGTGGTTACCTTGGGAGCAGGACTGGGCTGATGATAGCCACAGAGAAACTGAGCAGACAGAGAGAGAGGGACAGTCAGAATAAACCAGACTAAAGGGACAGGAGCAGCTACAGCGTCCCACTGAACCTTAACCCTTTAGGCGCCAGAATGGAGGACACTCTAGGGAAGTCATTCTGTAGGAACGCCTCCTCCCTCCCCCTCACACTATAGTCACGCCTCCTCCCCTCCCTCCCCTTCACCCTGTAGCCCCCCTTCCCCTGGTCCCCCCCCCTCACCATGGCCACGTCCGCCTGGAAGATCTGCTTGATGAACTTGTTCTTGGAGGAGTGGACCAGTTGGATTATGTCTGTGTGGAGGCTGTCGCGGTTCTTCTCCAAGAATCCTGGAAACAGTTCAAACACAGATTGATCAGACAAACCTGTTACTGCATCATTAGAACATTTTATTGCATCATTAGAACATGTTACTGCAGCATTAGAACATGTTACTGCAGCATTGGAACACGTTACTGCAGCATTAGAACATGTTACTGCATCAATAGAACATGTTACTGCATCATTAGAACATGTTACTGCACCATCAGAACAAAGGCACACGGTACCTTGATGTGAATGAGGCTGAGACTACACGGTACCTTTGGTGTGAGTGAGGCTAAGACTACACGGTACCTTTGGTGTGAATGAGGCTGAGACTACACGGTACCTTTGATGTGAATGAGGCTGAGACTACACGGTACCTTTGGTGTGAGTGAGGCTGAGACTACATGGTACCTTTGATGTGAATGAGGCTGAGACTACACGGTACCTTTGGTGTGAGTGAGGCTGAGACTACACAGTACATTTGGTGTGAGTGAGGCTGAGACTACACGGTACCTTTGATGTGAATGAGGCTGAGACTACACGGTACCTTTGGTGTGAGTGAGGCTGAGACTACACAGTACATTTGGTGTGAATGAGGCTGAGACTACACGGTACCTTTGGTGTGAATGAGGCTAAGACTACACGGTACCTTTGAAGTGAATGAGGCTGAGACCACACGGTACCTTTGGTGTGAATGAGGCTGAGACTACATGGTACCTTTGGTCTCGTAGCTGACGACTCCTGCAAAGTGCTGGATTCCAAATTGAGTCTCGTAGCTGTTCTTTGGGGGGATGTAGAAGGAGTTCTGCTTGTGCTGAGAGTTGAGTTTATAAAGCATGGTCGCATCTGTGCCCTGGAACACATTATAACATCATGAAACAAGATAAGATAAGAGATAAGAGTTCCTTTATTCGTCCCACAGTGGGGAAATTTCGATGTTGCAGCGCACAGACAGGACAGTAGTAAGAGCACACAGGGAGCACACAAAATATACAAAAAAAGTAGTAGCTGTATTACTTAACTATATGTAAATGCTGTAAACGCTTCGATACCAGTCTTTCAAAATAAAATATATATATGTAGTACATATAGTGCAGGATAATAGGCAGATACAGTAAGTAAAGTGACATTGTTCAGTGACATTCTGAAGGAGCAGTATTGCACATTGCAAATGATTTAGTATTTACCGGGCTGGTCGTATCACAGCCGACCCCTCTCACCCTGCACATGGACTATTCCAACCACTCCCCTCAGGCAGGAGACTGCGGTCCATCAGGACTAGAACCTCCCGCCACAAGAACAGTTTCTTCCCCTCTGCTGTTGGACTCTTGAACACTTCTTAACCTGTCCCCCCGCCCTTTATAAAGTCACTTTACTGCCCATCATACGTCACTTTACTTCACTGTACTGCTGTCACCTTACATTGTGTGCACCATGTGCACTTGTATATTGTAAATAGTAACTGTAACTCTATTTTAAATTTAAATTTATTCTTTAGAAGTGTTTTTTTATTCTTATTTTTATGATCTCTTTTTGACTGTTGCACTGAGCCAAAGCAATTTTCTAGTCTGTGACCTCTTGTTACTTACGTGGCAATAAAAATGATTCTGATGATTCTGATTTACAGATGGATGACATTTGCAAACTCAGCAGTTCTTATTGTACAGTCTGACAGCAGCAGGAAGGAAAGACCTACGGAACCTCTCCTTCACACAGCGAGGGTGAATTAGTCTTTCACTGAAACTGCTCTCCAGAGCAGAGAGAGTGTCCTGCAGGGGGTGACAGTCATGGTCCAGCATAGATGTTAGTTTGTCCAGGACCCTCCTGTCCCCCACCTGCTGCACTGTGTCCAGGGAACAGTCCAGGACAGAGCTGGACTTCCTGATGACTTTGTCCAGCTTCTTCCTGTCCCTCTCTGTGATGCTGCTGCTCCAGCAGACCACACCGTACAAGAGGCTGATGCCACCACAGAGTCATAGAAGGTCTTCAGGAGTGGCCCCTGCACTCCAAAAGACCTGAGCCTCCTCAGCAGGTAGAGCCAGTGTGAGGATTAGATAGCTATATGGCCGATGTGCAGGACAACTGCAAGACTATACCCTTGTATAGTCTTGCCATGTATAGACTCCATCCATGTTTTGACTATGATATGTGTGACATGTATGTCTTTCGATGTGTGCCGTAACGATGACTATATATAACTGTACTGACTCCATTTTGGTCTGAGAGAAAGAAACAATTGAAACCACTGGAACTTGAGAGAAACCTAAATAAACTTCCAGAGTTTGGCGTACCACGATCCGTCTCTTTCTGGTTCATTCCTGACAGATTTGGTGGAGGATGTGCGCCATTCTGGTTGTTTTGAGGGAGTTTCCTTTGTTTCTTTTTTTCAGTGTGTGGGAGGAACAGCACGTTATCTGGAAGGGGAGAAATCCCAGCGGACGCTGAAAGGGCTCGCTTTTGGATGGACTTGCTCTTGCTCCCTCACTTTCTCTGTTTTGTGTTTAAATTGAATTTTTCCACGCGGAAAAGATGTTGGTCGACCTCTCGAACAGTCCGGACAAAGAAATTAAGGTAAGCAGACACCTTTTTTATTATGTAAAGTCTGCATAATTGGATACTAGCTACATTTTGGGCTGTCCCAGAAGTCTGTCCAGATCTCTCTAAATCAATTTTTCTTTGTTATGTCTTTGTCATGTCTTATGTTGTAGAAGACAGGTTAGCTACCTGTGTGGGTAACCAATCCCTATAGGAAAGTCTCGGGATAGAGGCCCTTTGAGGATAAACAGGCTCTGGGTTGAGGCCCTTTGAGGATAAACAGGCTCAGGGTTGAGGCCCTTTGAGGATAAACAGGCTCAGGGTTGAGGCCCTTTGAGGATAAATAGAGTAATTACAGGGTAGAGGCCCGTTTTTGAGTAGTAACCGGGGTAGAGGCCGCTTGAAAAGCGACCCCTTGACGTATGCAGGGTCCCTGCCCCTTGAAGTAGCCAGGGCAGAGAGAAATAGTGTTGGCCAGAGAAAAGAGTAGAATATAGAAGTCATGGTGTAAAAATAAAACTGTTGGACTGTATCCAACAGTTGCTTTGTTTTTTTTTAGAAAGAGATTTTTCAATTTAAACTAGTTCGCTACCTCGATAAAATAGAAGCGTAAGGGAAACATTAAAAAGTATAGAGCCTTTTTGTTACAAGTGTGGAACGTAATAAATTCTATACTTGGATGACAAAAATGTAAAGAACATCAGTTATATTCTTGAAATTGAGTGTAAGTTGCATATAAAGATGAATTTCGTTGAGAAACTCAGTAAGTGAGTCTTGGATTTGGTTTTAGTATAAGCTCTTGTGATGTATATGCATTTTGGATTTGGTTTCATGTTATACAACACTTAAAAAAAGTAATCTTGAAAGTTCTTCTTTCTGTTTTTGCATTTTTTCTAAAACACAACTTTCTACGTGTGTGTGCGCCGCTCTATCTTGCTGCCGTTGTCAGGGAACAATGGCCCCCACCTTTTCGGCTCTGGCTCAGAATCAAAACAAACCTATACCGTCTTTAGGATTTTGGCTTTTTATAGTTTTTATTTGGTTAAATTTGCAACATTTGCGATTGAATATCCATCCATCCATTTTCTTCCGCTTTATCCGTTGCCGGGTCGCGGGGGCAGCAGTCTAAGCAGAGACGCCCAGACTTCCCTATCCACACACACCTCCTCAAGCTCGTCCGGGGGGACCCCTAGGCGTTCCCAGGCCAGCTGAGAGACATAGTCTCTCCAGCGTGTCCTGGGTCTTCCCCGGGGCCTCCTCCCGGTGGGACGTGCCCGGAACACCTCCCCAGGAAGGCGTCCAGGAGGCATCCTGAACAGATGCCCGAGCCACCTCAACTGGTTCCTCTCGACGTGGAGAAGCAGCGGCTCTACTCCGAGCTCCTCCCGTGTGACCGAGCTCCTCACCCTATCTCTAAGGGAGCGCCCAGCCACTCTGCGGAGGAAGCTCATTTCGACCGCTTGTATCCGCGATCTCGTTCTTTCGGTCATTACCCACAGCTCATGACCATAGGTGAGGGAGGGAACGAAGATTGACCGGTAAATTGAGAGCTTTGCCTTTCGGCTCAGCTCCCTCTTTACCACAACGGTCCGATACAGAGACCGCATCACTGCGCACGCTGCACCGATCCGCCTGTCAATCTCACGCTCCATCCTCCCCTCACTCGTGAACAAGACCCCGAGATACTTGAACTCCTCCACTTGAGGAAGGACCTCTCCACCCACCTGGAGAGGGCAAGGCACCTTTTCAAGGCGATTGAATATGACACAGTTAAACGTTTTAAACACCATTTAGTTAACAGAAGTTTTGAATATTAAATGTTTTTTTTTCTGAAATCGAAAGATTAATACAAAAATCTTAAAATTTAAATCTGCTGCTTATTTTTTGAGTCCAGTATTGTATCGTTGCTATATTTCATAACTGTTTGTGAGATTTAAAAAAAAAGAAAAATGCCATTTTAGTTACAAAAAGCCATAGTTCAAAATTTTTAAATTGGAATCTGTGTTAAAAGTGATTATTGATTAACGACTTGTCTAAAAAGAAAAAGAGGGAGATTAGAATAGTTATAAAAGTATCATATTCCTCCGTTGACCTTTACCACAATTCACAGTCTAAAGCTTGTGATTTTTGTTTTGACTATGCGCCTGACCTTGCTCCTGTTGCTGATGCGCACAGCTCAGAGAGCTCTGAAATGTGCTCCAATTCATATTGACTTAATTTGAAAAGGCTGCAATTATCTTAAATTAGTAGAATATATGCTGAGATAAATGTTCAAGTGTAAAAGGGAAATTCCAGTAAGTGATTAATCCAGTTTAGTTAATCCTTTGTTTATTTCATGTTTTCATGTTTTGTTTTAATGTTTTTCCAAATTCATTTTAGTTTTATAGAGATTTTTCATAGTTTCATTTTATTTCATGGCGCCTTTCAAGAAACCCAAGGACGCATAGAATAATTAAACACACAGTACAAAAGTACACAATTATATACATTCTTAAAGTTTAAAAGTTATTTGACATTTGAGTCTTTGGTTTCTGGTCCTAAAAATTTCATCATTAGTAAGATAATAAGTAGTCTTTATTTTTATAGCGCATGTTGAAAAACCAAGAGCGCTCCAAAATTGTTTAGAATTTAGAGAGAAAAACAATCTCTCGTTCTCACATACCGATATCTGTTGTTTTTAATTTTGGCTGTCTCAAGGATTGTTTTTCAGACTCTGTCACACTGTCACTGCTGGAGTGGACACTGGAGAGCAAAACCCCCCCAGAGCAGGCCACAGAGCTAAGAGCAAAAGGCCACCTCCGCCGCCCCTCCCCCCACTACAGAAGTAAGTGGGAGTGAGACCGGGGCCACGAAAGTGGAGGTTTCTGGAGGAAGTGATGGGTGGAAGGCATCAGGCAGAGACCTGGATGCGAGTTGAAAGTGTGTCCACTGTTTACATCGACCCAGTGACCTTTGAGACCTACAGGTGGTTCGAGGAATCTGGAAACACACCCCAAAATTCACACAAACACACATTCACAGACATTCATACATCCACACATCCACACACTCACACATTCACATTTAGATATAGATGCATGAAAAAAAACATAACATGAAAAAAAAAAGCATTTCAAAGTTTACTGCAATGTAAACAAACATTTTAATTGTCAAACACTTGAATCTTTATTTGAATCAGTATTCATTGGGACCGGAAATGTTCATTTGAATTCAAAATTGTTATGGACTTCATTGGCCTCTGTTTTGACATTTTTGTTTTGATTTTTGATTTTGTACTTTGTGATTTAAATACATTGATTAGGATTAGATCTGATAAGC